TGAAGTGAATGAGGAAGTAAGTAGGTTAGAGGGGGTCTGAAAGGACGTCAAGAAGTCAATAGATTAAGGAGGAGGGGAGGCATGGTCATTTACATATGACGACAAAGGAACCCTTATAGATAAAGTACGTCACTAGAGAAAACGGTACATCACCCTGGGGAGTTAGGCTGGTAGCAAGCCTTTAAAAGGAACAAGTCAAGCGTCAAGCTGATCGAGGTAGAGAACGAGCTTGGATCAAGAATAACAATGTGCTAGTGAACAAGGTCGAGCTAGAAAGAGGATGTATTGGGATATGAGAGACCCTACAAACTACCCAGATCACAAAAGGTCAGGAGGTCGTTGAGACCATTGAAAGGGGAATGCAAGAGTTCACGATGATCTGTTATGGGATTGCCCTATCCTAAGTGGAGGGAACACCTAGCCACCTAGGGTACATGAGGGGTGACAGAAGGAGGAACCTCTGTAATAAGTTGGAACTAGAGGACTAAGAGCTGGAGTCTCGAAACCAGTTGTAGGAGTAAGTCATTCAACCAGCCAAGTATAGACAAGCAAGTAGAATGTTCATTAGAAGTTCTAATGAAAGTTGGGGAATTCGAGTAAGAGTCTACACGGTCGGAAGAGAGTTTGCGAACAATACCAAGGAAGAGCAAAAAGGCCAGAGGGAGTTTAACGAGATCTCAAGAATTCAATGGGTCAAGTCTCAAGTGACTCGAGGTTAAGAAGCTGCACAAAGAGGTACGATGAGGGAAAGCATTACTGAGAAGGAGGAAAAAGAGAAGTTACCTTATCCAAGGTGCCCCACTCTGAGTGGGCGTGGCATGGTAGGAGGGCTCCAGAGGGGACAACTAGTTAAGGATGAAACCGGCACGTTTAGTTGAGCCACTAAGAATCCTAACTAAGAGACTAAGTTTATGTACAAGATCAATCAACAAAAGAGGCATGGAATGAGTTATGTTAAAGGTTACCAAGGGCAAGCTACCACTGGAAGTTGTGACCCAAAACAACAACGAGAAGATACTCAACAGAGTTTGGTGACCGAAAATAGTACAAAGTGTCAACAGAAGGGTAGTAAAAGTAAAAAGCAAGGAGAACACCATAGAATGCGTGAAGGAAGATAGTTGGGACGTGGTCAAGCACCATCGTGAGTAGAAGTCGTGGGTGTCATCTGTCAAGTCTACCTAGAGAAAGTTTCTAGTGGAAATGTTGGCTCTGAGGTATGGCGAGGAGCTACTAAACTGAGTAGATCAAAGCTAGTACCAAGCATCGATGAAGGAGTTGTGGAAGTAAGGAGGAAACCGCAAGCTATAATGAAAGTTATGGTGAAAAGGGTGGTAGTTGATAAAACAACAAATTCAGGGAGAAAGATAGTTAGGAAGAGTCGGCGAAAGAATACGAAGGTCAACAAGGAGGCGTTAGAGTGATTGCCAGTGGAGAATAAGTTGGACCATAGGAAGCCCATCAAGAACGGAGAAGCTCAATGGTCAACTTTAAAGTAGAAGTGTGGTGGTCCAGAACGGTCGAAGGGAAAACCTTATCGGTCAAGGTACATAAGTGAGTAGAGAATATGGGCACCAAGATGACTACATCAAGGACGAGGGACATATAGAACTAGCTAGAAACATCGGTAAGAGGAGTCACGAGTAAAGAAGTAAGATGGATATGAGTTTAGCGAACCTGCTAGGATACCCTAAAGTGAAAACAATACCATCTATGAGGGTGAAGTGTGGCGATCTCTCCGATAAAAATTTCTTGGACGGGGAAACTGTACGAGGAATTTCAGGCAAGGTCTAAGAACAATAGAAGAGATCGTACGAGAACTCCCAAGTCAAACGGTGATAAGGAAGTGTTAAGTTAGGCGCCAGGAGTGAACAAGTACTCAAAATGGAAGGTCATGATTCTGGAAAGAAGTCATAAAGTTGATCGCAAGCTAGAGAAAGATGCAAAGGATGCTTTTAATGCATACAGAAAGTAGAAGCAGCATTATGAGGTTTCGACGTTAAGCAAGAAGTGACGAAGAGATGACCATTCAGTTTATGGTTAAAGGATAAGATGAAGTATCGAGGAAGAAAGTAAGAGATGCAAAGCTAGGAGATTCAAGGACCTAGGTGATCTATGAGATCAACCCCGAACGAGAGTTATGTTAAAGGAGTTCTACCATCTGACTGAATAGGGGATAAACCATCATCAATGACCATGAAGTTGGTGAGGGGCAGTACTGATGACTCGATATTTGCACATGTTTTCCCCTTTGTTTCTTGATTGTTTGAGCTTGAATTATCGTGTCTTTGGCCTATTTTACGCTAGGTTGTGTTCCTTTGTCACATTTCAGGTCCTAGCACATAAAGTGAAGCATAGGCGCAAGTTTCAAGTCAATCAGAGATCAATTGACGATTCAGGAGAAGAAACTCGGGTATGACCTGAAGAAGAATGTATTTCTACCTCACTTTATGGACAAATAATCATGCAAGCTTGTCATGAAAAGAAATAGGACGAGACTACGAGCATCTGGGATTAAACGGCGACTGATTCGGAGTCCGGACGAGGGAGAAACGAAGCATTAAACAGAGGCTGAGCAAGCCACACGGGCACAACCCACACGGCCGTGTGACCTGGCCATGTGGCCGTGTGAAAATCACCGAGTCTTCACACGGGCAGCTGGGAAAGCCACACGGCCATGTGGCCTGGCCGTGTGAGTTGGGAATTGCTGTTTAAAACCCGATTTTCAGCAAAAGGAAAGGGGGAGAGCCGGGTTTTGGATCCCAAACACCCAAGGGAAGAACCCTAGAGAGAGAGAGAGCGACTTTGGAACATTCTTGGAGCTATTTTGGAGGATTTCTTCGCCATTGGAGCTCGGGAATCAAGCTTGGAGATGGAGATTGAAGATCTAGATAAGATTTCTGCAGTCTCTCTCTTCTCTATGGAGTAATTTCCCTTCACTTAGGTTTTGAGGAACCTTAGTTCCATGAGTTAGGATCTTTCTTGTATGAAGTTTTGGATGCTATATTGTTTGATTATAATCGAATGATGCATGTTTATTGAGTCAATTGAAGTCTGATCAACCTTTCCTGATTCCTGCTATAATCTGAGATAGATAGAATCTGATTAGGTTGCTAGAGTCTCATCATTCGGTAGTAGGAGATTGGCTATACGAGAGTTAGCCAGTTTACTGCTTTGTACTGGAATCCAATTCCAGTAGTGGAGTTCTGTGCTTATTGCTTCAGCTTTCTATCCCGGTGAAGACTAGTCGTCTGCCGGATAGTTAGACTGAGAGGGCTTGGCCAGCTTAAGAGATTCCAAGCTACTGTCGGATCTTCCGCAGTTTAATCAACAGTAAATCAACCAAAAGGAATTACAACTTGGACCTAATTGAGGAGCTAGGGGGAATCATACCTAAGTGATTTCCCAAACTGTAATTAGTAGTTTTACTTAGTTTAGTTAGTAGAGTAGTTTAGTTAATCAATCCTTAATCTAGTTTGCTAGATAATGAACTGAAGCTGAGTAATAGTAACTCTAGAGACCCGTGGATTCGATATTTATTACTTGTGCCACTATACTGCAGTCCCTTTCATTGGTTACACTTGGCCATTGTTAGGTGTTGTGTTTTAGAGCATCAAGTACCTTCTCATATACCGAATAAGGGATAGGTATTTTTCCGACATATGTCCAATGTGCAGACTAGGTGATGTGAGGGGTTAAGAAGCCACAACAATATTCAAGTTGCAGGAACAGAGAGAAGGATTTTAGGTCACGTCGTATAAGTTAAAGGAAATAAAAATCCGCGAAGTGAAAAGGATTACCACAAGCAATGCTTAGGGTAATCACAGTGGACAAATTTCGAGGGGGAAATTTCTATAATGGGGAAGAAGTAATACCTAGGAATCGAACTATGAGTAAGCCATTCAGCAGGTTAAACGTTCACTACGGACATCTATGTTCGAGAATTCAAGTAGAGGCATCAGCAGTCAGGATATGGAGAACGTAGCTCAAGGTCGAGGCGCATTATGAGATGAAGTTACGACGGGTCAAGCCCAGAATAGGACTGACCGAGAATTTATTTCCTTAATGTTTCTTAGGGGATCCTAAGTAGAGACCCAAGGCAACCCATTGAGAACAACATGAGCTAAGAATTCTTCACAACATCAAAGGCGTCGATGAATGAGAGTGCCACAAATACATAATCGCTTTGAGTAAGACGCTAGCGGAGTAAGTAGTTTAGGAGAAATGAGTGAGTTATCATTCGACCAAGAACCACACGAATTGGAGGGCAGGAATCATAGCTCAAGGTTGTAAAAAGTCAATGAAGTATAAATCCCTGTAGTGGAAGGATTACCCCAAGTGGGACTTTGGGTTGTCAAGATGAACAAATTTCGAGGTCGAAATTCTTCTTAAGGAGGGGGGAAATGTGATATCTCGATTTTGGACGGGGGTTCAACAACAACTACCAGGAGAATTGGTCAATATGTCCTGTCAAATCATCATTTTGTTTCACCACTTTTGAGTCAAGTTGTGAAACGATAAGGAAAGTGAGTCACTCAAGGTTATACGAGCACTACAAGGTAAAGAAATGTATATGATCAAAGGCTACCAACGAAGTTTTTATGGTAAGAAGGGTGTTGATAGAAGGATTAGTTCCGAGCAAATTTCGAGGACGAAATTTTTTATAAGGGTGGAGGAAATGTGACACCCCGAATTTTGGGTTCTGGCTCGACCTTAATACGTGATCGGTTGGGTTGACACTTGCGTACTAAAAGTTGCAATCGCGGATTAATAGTAATAATACTATTAATAATAATAATTATTATTTATTATTATGAAGAAAAAAAATCATATAAAAGGGACTCGGGGCCGAGCGGCCGACCCTCTCCACTCAATCCCCAAACCCTCTCAAGTTTTGTCCACCTGTGACCGCCACCCTCCTTAAGAAAATCCCGACCCCAATAAGCAAACCTCACCGGTCTTCTTCTTTTCCCCAAGACCACCCAATAACTTCGGTTCCTCTTATGAACTTGGAGATGGAGGTTTTGGTGCTATATATTATGGGGAAGCTTTTGTCAGAAATTGAAGCATCTAGCGGTGTGGTGAACAACAAGGACGATGAAGGTGGGGCGCCGGCCATGGTGCTTGGTTTTATCAAGGGCATTTTATCAATTGGGGAATTGTTGTTACAGGTGTCCCAGGCAAGAAAATGGCCATGTGATCAAGATTCTCATGGCTTTAATTCAAGCTTAGAATCAGACTTGCAAGGTACTGCGGGGAAGAAAAAAAAATGGCCATGTGATGGTGGAGTTGGTTCCGAGCAGTCATGTGTTGATCAAGTGAAGGAAAATCGATTGCTGTAGTTGATTCAATTCAATCCGCTTCGACGTAAGGTGAGTGTAAATGGGGTAAATTCTACGCCTTACGTATCCTTTTAAGTATTATGTTTTAAGTATTTTAGCGAATTAGTTATCGTTGCTTGGTTATGTGTATGATTGATTATTTGTGCCTTGCTTGAGTTATGGTTTGAGATGATCTTGTGATATTTGAGGTGATTTTGTTTGAGCTATGCTTAAAGTGAATGTTTATAAAGTACTTGGAAATTTTTACGAGTATAAGTTATTATTAAAGAGTAAGAAACAAGTTCTTTTTAAGAAGTAACTCACCTTCAAGAAGGTGAAGTCGTTTTAAGTGTTTTTAGTCACTAGCGCCAGTCCGTTGCCATTTGAGATTTTTAGATAGAGCAGCAGTTATGCTCTGGAGATCTTTGAGACAGAGCAGCAGTTATGCTCTTGAGACTTTTAAGATGGGCAGCAGTTATGCCCTTGAGAATCGTGGTGAAGAGCCACCACGATAAGTTTAAGATGTTAGGGGGATGAATCGTTACGACTTCCCTAACTAAGTTTAAGTTTAAGGAAAGCCTTGATGGCTTCTCATACGTATGAGTTGGCAACCGGACTAGCTATTGAGGGATCCCAGTGTCAGTCAAGTATTTTAAGTCAAGCTTTGAGATTTAAGAGTGGAGCAACAGTAACTCCCATACAGTTTTAAGAGTTAAACTTTTTAGTAGTGGAAGTACAAAACAACTACCACTCAGTTAAGAAAAGTGATCAAGTATTAGAAGTATTAAAACGTAAGGGCGTAGACTGACCCCATCTCACTCACCAGTTTGAAGAGCTAGAGGAGCAATTAATGAGCAGCGAGTTCGAGGCCAGCCAGCTAGAGGAGAGCAGTATAAGCGTCATGGAGGATGCCTAGTTAAGATTTTCAGTAGCAGCAACGATGTAGACTACCTAGCTATTTACATTTTATGATTATGAGTATAGACTGGAGATCCGATTGAGATTTTAAACTTTGAGTTTAATTGCCCACGTGTTAGGGCTTTGCTCTGAGCTTCAAGTGTGTGTTTCCGGTATTTTATTTAGGAAATTTTTTCCCATTTGCAATTTAAAATTTGAGTATTTTATTTATCAAGGGCATTTTAGTAAAAGTAGTACCCGGCCGGGTTAGGGTGTTTCAGGTTCTGAAGATGATTGGATGGAGAAGAGGAGAGGAAGCGACGAGAGTGTAGGTTTTTCTATTGTTATAACCGGTCGGTTAGGCAGTTAAACCGAACCGGCCATCACATTTTCGGTTGACTCGGTTAAACCTCACCTAAACCAAAAACCGCCCGGTCGGTTGACGGTGGCCATTGGCCAGGTCTCGGTTTAACCGAAAACCGAGAATTTGGTTTTCGGTTAAACTGAAACCGACCAATTGCCAGCCCTATGCAAAAGAATGGAAGTTAAAAATGGAGGAGCTTGCCAATCCAAATTTCCCCAACAATAATGAAAGTTAACAGCAAAAAGAGCCTGCAAATCCAAACTTCCTGAATGAATCGTTTATGATCCAAACTTCCTAATGGATGTTGTATCCTAGAACCCATAAAATATTAAATTTACACTACACTTTCTACATAATTGAGTGAAAGTGCATTTTGTGAAAGACACCATGGAGATCCATAAAAAAAGACAATTTTGACAGCAGTTTCAGCCTGTTTCGTTTCACATTCAAGCTCTAGTATCTCATACTCGCCCTTGTGCTCTTCATAGTCACTGTTATAGGTGTCAATCGGGCGGGTTCGGGCGGGTTCGGGTTGGGTTCAATCGGGTTCGGGTTCAAACGGGTTGCGGGTTCGTCGGGTTGCGGGTTCATCGGGTTCGGGTTCATCGGGTTCGGGTTAGTCGGGTTGCGGGTTCATCGGGTTCGGATTCAATCGGGTTGCGGGCAAACGGGTTGCGGGTTCATCGGGTTTTGGGTCAGGCGGGTTGCGGGCGGGTCGGGTTTCGGGTTGTTCGGGCCAGCGCATCAAGTAACTTAACTCATTACTCATTACCAACTTACACATTTTATTACACTAATTTAAAATATTTTCTCAACTTTTTAACCAATTTATTTCTACCTCGTATATATATACTTTATTTTTTTTAAAAAAACTAGTCAAAATGTTAAATCAATTTGTATGACTTGCAAACTTGTTATGTAATTAATCATAATTGGTAAAATATTATAGCTAATAGTAATGGTGATATCAATATTTGCAACCAAAAGACACCGTTAATTGTTTGTTTGATATTTTAGTATTAATTCAGTAGTAATTGGATTAAAGTATCTCGTTTAGTATAACCATGCAAATCTGGTATTTGGTGTGTGGAATTTGGCAAAAGCATAGTGATAAAAGGAGTTATTTCAAAATAACTCATTGCCCAAATAACTTTAGTAAACTGTAGCCAAACGAGTTATTTGTAAAATTGTTCGAATTATCCTAAAAATTGAACCATTAAAGATTAGCTATCAAATTTAGTAAAATTATTGTGACTTCAATCATAACTTACTCAATAGCATATATCCTATACACTTAGCTTTACCCTCAATCAACAATATTAAGTTAGTATATGTTGTTGATTGTATACCCTAAACCATCAATATAGTATATACTAACCACATAAACTATACCCTAACCATATGTCATTGAGTTGTGATTTTGCTAGTATAGTTAAATTAAAAGTGAAATTCATACTTTGATTTTCAAAACATAGATAAAAAGTTATATTTGCTAATTGTTATACCCTAACCATATATCCTATACTTTACACCACATACCTTGTACCCTAACCACGTACCATAAACATAAATTAAAAAGGGATCTCCTGCCGTTAAAGACTTCAAATGATTTCAAGTGAACATATGTTAATAAAAAACTTAGAACCGTCAAAACCATCAATATCTTATACCCTAACCATATACACCTTAAACCATATGTACCTTATACCCTATACCCTAACCATATACTTTATATCCTAAACAACGAACCGTCAAAGATTACTTATCAAGTTTAGTATAAATTGTTGTAACTAATGGTTAATTTATTTACTAGCCCATAAAATATTACATACATATATACATATTAGCCTTCAAAGCATATAAGAATAATTTTAACTAGTCATGCGCTCCATATAAAAGTTAAAGATTCATATTTCAAAAGCTAAAATTATGAAAAACCAAAAAATTGAAAACACCAAATTTGTTTCCTTCTTTCATTTCACAAAAATACTAAAATTTCCCTCCTTCTTTCTCCTTCCATACATTAGAAAAACTCAATTTTACCTCCTCTTTCTCTTCCATAAAATTGAAAGAACCAAATTACCCTCTTCTTTCCTTCTACAAAAAGTTGAAAAGTCAAAAGTTTCCCTCCTTATTTCTCTTTCATAATCAAAAGAATCAAACTTTCCCACTTCTTCTCTTCCCACATATCAAAACCACCAAAATTCCCACCTGTTTCTTTTCTAAAAAATTCAAAGAACAAAATTTTCCTCTTCTTTCTCTTCCCAAAAACTTGAATACACCAAAATTTCCCTCTTCTTTTAAAAACATCAAATTACCAAATACATTACTTTACTTTATTTATATTTAATTGATAATTTTATCGAATAGTTAAATTAACCAAAATTTTAATTTATATATTATATTAATATTGTCATGATCTCAAGTGACCTTCATGTTTCAATTTTTGTAATTTTCTTAAAATACAGAATATCTAGTGAGTTTCATATTTTTAAAATTTCTTATACGAAATGAAAAAATAATCTTACTTAAGTTTAGAATGAAAAACTTTATTTTGAAAAACTATGTATTGTATATTTTTATAATTATTCAAGTGGATTAGATGAAATTCGGGTTGAGTCGGTCGGGTTACGGGTTAGTCGGGTTCGGGTCAATCGGGTTCGGGTTAATCGGGTTGCGGGTCAATCGGGTTGCGAGTCAATCGAGTTTGGGTTAATCGGGTTGCGGGTTAGTCGGGTTGCGGGTTAGTTGGGTTGCGGGTCAATCGGGTTGCGGGTCGGGCGGGTTACGGGTTGTTGACTTTTAGTCAATTCGGGTTGCGGTCGGATTGCGGGTCGGGTTGATCGGGCGGGTTAATCGGGTTGGGCTATATTTTGACACCTATAGTCACTGTTGCCCACTTCAATTTCAATTTGAAGCCTGAGATTCTCGCTTTACTTCTCAATCCCCTTCCATTCTTTTACATTTGAACCCAACACACTATCCACCTCCGAGGCCAGAGCTATCTTCCTTGCCGACTGCGGTTCATCGAATTCAACCAAATGAGTTATAATAGCAGTAGAGCCAAGAATACACGACAAATTCCCTTTAGGGGACACATACCCACAAAGGAACAGCAAGGCAATAAAATTTGGAACAACCAAGCTGTAATGGCAATAAGCCGGGCAACACCAAAATGTCAATGTTAAAAAGGAAAAAAAATCCCAGAATACACTAGTTAGTAAAAAAAATTCTCAAAATACAGTACTTATGAAAATATTTCCCAAAATACAGCAGTTTGGGGTTCACCGCTGCGGATCAAGACAGTGAATATCATCACCACTGCAAACAAAAACGGTTAAGGGTTCATCGTTTTTGACAAAGGCGGGGAAACCATCACCGCTTTTGTCCAAAATGGTGAATCCTTCACCGTTTTTGACAAAAACGGCGAACGCTTCACCGCTGTGGTGCAAAACGGCGAAGTGGCACGGATCGCTCACGTGGACACACGTGGGCACTTCACCGTTTTGAACAAAAGCGTTGATAGCCCGCCCTGTCCACGTCATCGATCCGCGCCACTCGCGCACTTCACTGTCACTGTCAGATGCGGTGAGGCGCGGATTTTGGTTTTTCTCCTAGATCCGACGCCTCAAATCGAGCCACGTTAGCGATCCGCGCAGTTCACCGCCCTCGAGAATCGAGGGGATTGCTTCACCGTCGTGGACCAGAGCGGTGAATGCTCTGTGGTCCTCCCTATAAATACCACCCCATCCCCCCACTC